TAGGGTTTCGGGTTTAGGGGGCTTTCTATTTTTTGCGGGCAACTGGAGTATGTTAACATAATATATCATATGAACCGAGGAGGATTCGAACTTCCAGCGATTGAACGTAGCACCTTTAACCTTGAAGCAGCTTGAAATAAGGTCGGTAGGGTGCCATCTCAACATATCTCAACGATTTAGGCTACTATATCAGGAAGAAACACGTGACAACCACTGTTCCAGCTCATGCAGATGCACTGCACAACAGTTCACATGCTGTGTACAGGTCTGCCAAACACCCTATTCTAACACTAGTCTGACTGCGATGTCATGTCTTAACCCTTGCAGTAGCCCTTTCAGCATGCCTTAACGAACCCTTACAGGAACCCAAGTATGCAAGGTGCACCCTGGTCGGAACAAGCCGGGTCCCCGCGCGCAGCAGCTGGAATCATCTTGCACTGCTGGAATGTCCAGCTCCTGACTGGAATCCTTAATCCCAAACATTGAACCCTAAATCCTTAAACCTTATCCAAAAGCTCAAACCCCAAACCCCGAAACCCAAAAAAAAATCCGCGAACCTCCCAAACCCCGGAATCCTGAAGCTAAACCCCAACCCTGAAGCCGTTAAACCCTCAGTCGATCATCCGTTGTGCAACAACGTAGCTCGGCTCGAATGGACCACTGCAGCAGCAACTTTTGCCGTTGGCCTCCTTAGCCCTGACCGCTTGCGTGAGCTGGCTATGTTTGGGGTTTCGGTTTTGAGAGTTTGGACTTAGGGTTTAGGGTTTAAGGATTTGGATTCAGTGTTCCAGGCTAGCTCTCTGAGGCAGTGAGGTACCTTGCTTGCTCTGTTTTGTTTGGGTTTTGGGTTTAGGGCTATAGGGCGTCTCCCTTTGGCAGGTTGATACTTCTTTGGTGATATGCGTTACGACAATGATGGTAACTGTTTCTAGAATTGCTCTGATCACACTGTAGGACTTCTGACACGATCTTCAAACCCATTGAAGCTGCTAGTGTACTTAGTATTGGTGTTTTTCTGACTATAGATGCTGCTGGCTCTTGGCCGTGCTGCCGCTGCTGCTCCGTTTATAACGCTGTAAACCTCCACTCCCAACACTCCAAACCCCAAAGGATATCCGATTCTAGCAATCTCATAGAACCTGTATAGTACTGTACCGATATAGTACCCTCATAGAGCTCGTATTGTACCTTCATCGACTACACCTCTTGTAGTACCTTGCTAGAACCGACCTCTTACAGTACCTTTGAAGTGACCTCGTAAACTACCGTAGTACGGGACCCTGGCGATAGACTTATTGCACCCTTACAATACCCGCGTCCTGCTGTCCATCCTTCCAGTCCGAGGCCGCGAGGTCGTAGTAGACGGTGTCTGGCCTCGCGGTCTCTGGGTTTAGGGCCAGGGTTTACGGTTTCGGGTTGGGTGATTTGGTCTGTCTGGGGCTTAGGGTTCGCTGCGGGGTTCTATAAGGGCGGCTGAAGTGTGGCTTAGGAGTTCGAGCTGCACTCAAGCGGATGTTGGGCTACTCACACGGGCTGTCCGCCCGAATTCTGCTCAACACGACTGCAGGAATCTTTAGGGGATGACAAGCTCAAGAAACAGTGCCTTCAAAGCGATGCTGATCTAGTCTACATTGTACATCAGAGGACGTAATAGATACTAGAGATACAGATAGGATAACCCTGATTAGGGTACCTGTGATGCCCTGTATGACCAAGTCGCCGGATCGTTTGCGCAGGACCTTTCAAAAGACGTTGTCTAAAACAAATACAAGCCCCGACTAAAAACCCTGTGAAAACCAGCTTTCAAACCCGTATAAACGCAACAAAACACTCTGGCAACAACCCTAAACCCTCAACCCTAAACCCTAAACCCTAAACCCTAAACCCCTACAAAAAAACACAAAAAGAACAAATAAACCGCAAAGACTCTCGGGTCCAACTGAGGGTCCAGACCGGTGGCTGTAGGACACCGTGTTTGCCTGAAGTTGGAGTACGGCGAAAGCTGAGGGGTTCAAGGGTTCTATAAGGGTACTATAAGGATGCTAAAGGGGTTCTATAAGGGTACTATAGGATCTCTGTGACAAAACTACATGGGATAGGTTTAGGGTCTACAGGGTTTGCAAGTTAGCGTCAGTTTATCTCTCCCTGCAGCACCCTTGTCACCATGATCGTCATCCACACCTCAAACACCCTGGCCCTTAACACTAAATCCCACTAGGGTTTGGGCGTACTTGGAGGTTCATGGGTAGTTATAAATGGAGTTATAAGTCCCCTGATATCGGTTATAACTCCAGTTGCCCAACTTATAACCCTACTTATAACTACCCATGAACCTCCAAGCAGAAACCCGAAACTTCCCTAAACCCTAAACCCTAAACCCTAAACCCTAAACCCTAAACCCTGAACCCTAAACCCTAAACCCTAAACCCTAAACCCAGGCCTCCTGTGCCAGTCGCACTTCGAGGTCCCTCAGATCCTCGCAGAAAGCCGCAGCAACATCCGAAGGGGAAGCGAGGGCTTCGGGGCTCCGTGTTGGCTTAGGGCTTATAGGGTTTAGGGTTTAGGGTTTAGGGTTTAGTGGGTTTAGGGTTTAGGGTTTAGGGTTTAGGGGTTTTTTTTTATCTACGATAGACGGACTTTTACCTCCGCGCTCGCCCCATTGGGCCGTAGAAGGTGAAACAGGAGGCGAAGTACACAAAGACGACGAGGATCACGACCAGGTAGAGCAGGAACCAACGCAGCATACCAAACAATGTGCAGTTTCCAGGTAGTCACGATACACTCGACAACGCAAAGTCCAGGGGGTTTAGGGTTTAGGCTTTCTGGGCTCTTTGTTTGGGGTTTCTGGCTTTGGGTGCTTAAGGAAAGGGGGCTTTAGGACTTAGGGGTTTAGGGTTTAGGGATTTGGGGGTTTCTGGCTTTGGGTGCTTTAAGGAAAGGGGGCTTTAGGACCTTCGGCCTTCGGGGTAGGTAGGGCTTTTGAGTTGAGGGGTCATTTTTGAGAGGCCCGGATCGGGCAGGCAGGAACTTGGGCGTTCGGTCTGGCAGCCATCGAACGGTACCCTAAACCCTAAACCTACCACAGCCTAAACCCTAAACCCTACAGCCTAAACCCTAAACCCTAAACCCTAAATCTACCACACCGGCACAGGAATGGGATGTCGATGGTAGCACACGCGTCCTGGTGAATCTCGAAGCCAAAAAGCGCAGAACTGGCCGAGGTCTCCGAAGGTTAAGCCCCGTCTACCCCAAAACCTTGAACCCCGAAGCCTTCACCGGAAATACCTTCCACCCAAAAAACTGAAACAGCAGCCCTAAAGCTCTAGAACCCCCGGAACCCTCACCCTAAACCCTAAACCCTAAACCCTAAACCCTAAACCCTGAACCCTACTGCCTAAACCTAAACTTCGTTGGGTCCTCCGCCGAGACCGCCTGGCCACCGGGCTTCTCGAGTCGGACCGACAGCTTCATCGGCAGGCCCGGGCGAAAGACCTTCGGAGAGAGCTGAGTTAGGGTTTAGGGTTTAGGGTTTAGGGTTTAGGGTTTAGGGTTTAGGGTTTAGGGTTTAGGGTTTAGGGTTACGACGGGTTTTAGGGGTGAAAGGCTTAAGATTTGAGGGTTTGGGTTTAGAGTTTAGGCTTCGGGGTTTAGGAGTTTAGGGTTGAGGGTTTTGGGTTTAAGGCGTAGGGTCCGGAGTTTAGGGCTTAGGTTTAGGGCTTCAGGGGTTGAGGGTTCAGGGTTTAGGAGCTGTTTGGGTTTAGCAGGGTACGAATTTAGGATTTAGGAAAATGAAGGACAGCCATCCTCATCACCAAGTTACCGTCACTATCATCACACGAGTAGTTATTCCGACCCTAAACCCTAAACCCTAAGCCCTAAACCCTAAACCCTAAACCCCTAAACCCTTGCAAGGACGGATGCTTGATAGGACCTGCTGATTGCCATCGATAGGGATGCTGCTGTTTGTAGCGTCACTGCAGCTTCGGGCTTCAAACGCTTCGGGCTTTAGGGTTTTGGGGATTCGGGTTTTGGGCCTTACGGCGTTTTGGGGCTCCTAGGGCAAGCATCTATTCCCCCAACCCCAAACCCTACCTTCGGCGTCCTAGGGAGGAACCCCAGAAGACAGCGAAGGCCTTCGTGCCATCGGACAAGCTGATGTCGGCCTGCAACTCTGAGCCTTCGTAGAGTACCTTGGTCTACTTGGAGGTCCATGGGTAGTTATAAGTGGGGTTATAAGTAAGGTAACTATAGTTATAACCCATATTAGGGGACTTATAACCATACTTATCTTGGCGTACTTCTGAACCCCTCCTAAAAGTTAAACTTTTAGCCCAGATATTATAGTTCATATAGAAACCCAAAAAGTTAAAGTCTAAAGAGCCAACCAGAAGAACGCTAAGTTATAACTACCCATGGACCTCCAAGTTGGCCTAGGGCTTCAGGTTTGAGGTTGGGGGTTTGGGGTGAAGCTTTTTCGGGGCTAAGGTTTTATTTTAAAGTGCACTGCGCCCCTTTGGGTTTCGGGTTTAGGGTTTAGGGCGTAGAGTATGGGTATGGGGTTTAGGGCTGAGCATTGGGAGTTTGGGTTTAGGGTTTAGGGCTCACAGATGTAGCCAGTGTACGTCATAGCCCAGTCTTTGACGTCCTCATGAACCTCAACCCAGGCAAGCTGGACCATCAACTCTAAATTTCAATCATCAACTCTGAGGTTTAAGACCCTAAACCCTAAATCCTAAACCCTAAACCCTAAACTCTGAGGTTTTAAGGGTCTGGCTTTGGGGTTTTAAGAGGTTTTGGGTTTCGGGCTTCAAGAGGTAAAGGGATTCAGGGGTTTGGGGATCTGACCGCCAAGGCTTAAGGGCCTTAGTAATGAGGAGAGGCTTCCCGTCCCTAGGGTTTAGGGTTTAGGGTTTAGGGTTTAGGGAAAGAGATCCCTAAAAAGGCTCCATAAAGGGATACGATGAGGCATAGTTTTGGGGCCTGAAGACTTAGAATAAGTCTTTAAGGTATAGTATACTGTGACTCTACCAAGGAAACCTACAGGAATGACATGGGGAATTGCTCAGGGCTCTATATTGGGGTGTTTGGTCACTTGAGATCTTTGGACTTACTGCAGGTTTGGTTGTAGCGCTGAAAGGAGAAACTTGCACTATGAAGCTGTAGGAACTGCAATCCACAACGGCTGTGGCCCAAACTGTTCGAAGCTTCTGCCCTGTAGCGTTTTTGGGGTGTACACGTGGTCCTGGGTCCTAAACCCTACCATATCCTACCTAAACCCTGAACCCTGAACCCTGAACCCTAAACCCTGAACCGAAAGCTGAAAACCCTGGAGAGCCGACTTGATGCCGGGCACCGGCAGGGACGCGGCCGAGCTTTGTCGCTCCCCAGTTGCTGCATAGACGACCTGAAATCGTGTAGGGTTTAGGGCCTAGGGCTTAAGAGGCTTGGGGGTTTAGGGTTTGGGGCTTTGGGGTTTAGGGGTCTAGGGCCTTGGGTGGAAACCTTGTGCGAAATATGGGGGCCTTGGTGAATTGAAAAGAGTCTTTTTTAGGGTGTCAAGCGGGACTTCAGCTTGTGCGGGTTTTACCATTGGGGCCTCAACAGTTACACTCTTAGACCTAGACTATGGGCTTTGGGGCAGATTCCTGTGCATGCTTGTAACCTTTGTAATGAGACTCTTTTCTGCTAAGCGACTGTGAACGAGCCGCCTAGGCCTATGGGAGTTCTCAGGACTCCCACCCCTAAACCCTAAACCCTCAACCCTAAACCCATCCTCAAGCCGTTATCTGCAGCGCAGCCGCGGATGCTTCCGCTTGCAGCGTGCCGTATCCTTGCAGCACAAGACCAGACTCCCGTGGTCGGACCGAAGTCAGCTTCCAGCATTTGGGTAGTTCTCTAAATTAGGGTCCCTTTCTAGGTCCCCAATATAGTACGGCAAACTTATAAGAAGGACCCCAAAAGGGACCCTAACTTAGAGAACTACCCATTTAATCTTACACTTCGGCTTCTGAGTCTGGCAGAGGATGTTCGAAGCCGCATCAGCGAAAGCCACACCACTGTCTACAATTATGCTCTGCAGACGTGCACATACACTGTCTGCCCTTACCCAAAGATTCCTAAGTACCCATATGGCAGAATGTAGGGGTTCTATATTACGAATTACTATTATGAATTGGGAAGTATTCCCCATAACAGTACCTAGGACCCTTTGGGTTAAGACTGCAGCAGAGGAGCGCAGCTGGCTGCTCGGAATGGTCAGTTCGAACGGCGTCGGCGCCGTCGTTGAAAGCCTGTGATGCACTTCGCAGGACCAGCTTCACGAGAAGATAACGAGCCGGAGCTTACTACAATTTTCATCTCGTGGAGGAGCTCCGGGGCGTAGGATGCTACCAGCTTCATGCTTCAGCAGCTCGATATAGTGTAAGGATTTCTCTTTGCAAACATCCATTTGCGAGCGTCCATTTGACTCAGTATGCAGCTAGACATATCAGGTTAAGGCCTAGTAAAGTAACCACATTTCAAACCAAGAAAGTGTGCTCAAGATGCCTGTGGTTGTTTCCAATGACTGGTGAGCTCTTAAAACCCTAAGCCCTAAACCCTAAACCCCTAAACCCTAAGCCCTAAACCCTAAACCCTAACCTAAACCGTTTGAACTTTACAATGGCAGAATGCATTCCCAGCGGCTCGAGCCCTGCTAGGGATGCAAGAGCCCTGTGTGCAACACCTTTGCTGTGCAAAGGGTCTAAAGTGTGGGGTTCAGGGTTGTTGAGGGTGGGTTGAGGGTTTAGGGTTTAGGGTTCAGGGTTTTGGGTTAGGGCATTGCTGTTTACGGCTTACGGTCTTGGCTTCACGTGTGTCTTAAGTGTGCTGCCCTTCCTGTCCCGCTGATTTACATGCGGACGACAAGGCGCTTGTACTGATGACCCATGTCGGATTTTGTCGAAGTTCCGGGTGACTTGGTGTTTGGAGTTAGGGTCCAGGGCTTGGGGTCGTGTTTAGACGCCTGAGAGAAGCTTTCTGCTCGCCTGCTTCCTAAAACCCTAAAGCGTTCAGCACACCTAAACGCCTTTTGCACCTCAGAACAGAAGCTTAAGGGACAATAGGAGGGACCCCTAGAAAGGGACCCCGAATCCAAATACCCTATATACCCCTTATATACCCCTTAGATAGTCTCATAAAGCCCCTATATAACCCCAAGGGTCCCTTGAAGGGTCCCTCCTTTAGTCCCTTGAACCTCAGAACAGAAGCATAGAACCACCCTAAACCCTAAACCCTAAACCGGTTCTCGGCCTTGAGAAGCTGCCCCTTACGTGGGCAGTGCTCGACCCTACTTGGAGGTTCAGGGGTAGTTATAGGTGGGGTTTATGGGGGTTCCTTTAAGGGTTCCTTTAAAGGGTTCTATGGGGTTTAGGGTTTAGGGTTTAGGGTCTAGGGTTTGGAGGTTCATGGGTAGTTATAAGTAGGGTTTTGAGTCCCCTAATATGGTTACCCTACTTATAACCCCATTTGTAACTACCCATGAACCTCCAAGTAATCTCTCAAACCCTTCACCTAAACACGAAGCCCTAAGCCCCCTAAACCCTAAACCCTGAACCCTAAACCCTAAACCCTGAGCCCCGAAATCCTGAACCCGAAGCCATGCTCTGGCTTGTTCAAGCCACTGGCGATCCGGCGCTCAGACCGAACTTAAGGTTTAGGGTTGCGCGGTTAGGAGCCCTCTCTTTCCGTGGGGCTTAGGGTTTGGGATGGGTTTGGGGCTGACGGCTTCGGATGGAGAGTTTTGGTTCAGGATGTTGGCTTCAGGCCTCAGGGTTTAGGACCTTTAGAGCTTTCGGATTTTGGGGCTTTAGGGCTTTAGGGGTTTAGGGGTTTAGGGCTTCAGGGTTTTAGGGGCTTTAGGGGCTTTAGGGCTCTAGGGCTTTAGGGTTTTAGGGCTAGGACGGCTAGGCTAGGGTTAGGATCGAATGTGCGAGCCCTGCAACTTGTTAACTGGACCCAGCCGGTCGGGGTCTGCAAAGCCTCAACTGACTAGTCAACCTAAGATTCTCGATGGAGGAGGCCGAAGCGATAATATCAGCATGCCCGAATCCCGAATAATTACAATGGTCTTCAGCCAGCTCGCCGCCCGTAGCTTGCGAATCTGTGGAATCGATGCTAGCATCACCGTCCATCGCTGCACCGCCCATCCGCGAAGACACCTGTACCCACAATCAAGTGATTTGGGACCATACATCCCATGTGCCAGGTAGCTTGCTTCTCAGAATGTGTATTGACGACTCTTGTTGTTATCATATCTTCTACTCCCACATGAGTAGTTCTCTAAAGTAGGGTCC